CTTCTCTCTCTCTCTCTCTCTCTCTCTCTCTCTCTCTCTCTATATATATATATATATATATATATATATATATATATATATATATATATAGATACATATAGATAGATAGATATAGATATATATATGTGTGTGTGCGTATGTCTGTGTGTGTTCGTGTGTGTGTGTGTGGTGTAATACATAACCAAACAATCATACAAAACAAACTTTTTTTGCTCTAAGGTTTATTCAAACTTCAAGCTTTTTTTTTCATAAATAATGTGCATGTGAGTTCACAAATTAACATCGTTTGTTTTCCTTTAAATACATCAATGATGTTGGTACTAAAACTTCAAAATAATGAGAATCTTAATTAGTCTTTATATTGTTGTTGCTTTCAATTAAGTATGGCCTAACCGGTACAAATAAGATAAATGGTAACGATTATGAAGGCATTTTATGAGACATTCTGTTTTTTACTAAATCTGTTTTGTGGTATATACTAAGGACAGACCGAACTGATTATATGACCACCTCAAAACAAATGCGTCCGCACGAACAAAAAACGAAACAAAATTGTCGCTTTCATTATTTAAACTAACACATGCGTCCGTGCGAAAAAAAATAAGTGCCAAAACGTGAGCAAATGACACAACAAAAGTATACCATTCCGTTTTTTATACAAAAATTATAACATAATAATACATACATACTAGGACACTAGCATCGATTTGCCAATATCACTTTGCAGTTTACGGCATAGTTTGTTGCTTTTTACAACGAATTTTTAGCATAATAATTTGTACTTTTTGAAATGGACGAAAATTGATGTACTGGGATCCACATAATCGCGCAGTGTGGCCTTAGTAATTTCAAAAAGTACATCATGATTTTAAATTTTTTGACACAGGCTTTCTTTTTTATGTACCTTATAATTTATATAAGACGATGGTATATTCATATGTGGCAGACATTGTAGCTGCTGGTATAAAGATGCTCAATTTTGTTGCAAATATCCACCTTGTCAATAACTTTTTTGTTTACATTGATACACTAAAAATCAACATATAAAGCTTGTTTTAACTGTTGGTATTGGGTATTATTTATGCTCTCTTCACTCTCAATACATTTATTATCTGCATGCCCGTAGCCAAAGGGAGTCCGGGGTGTTCGGAAGAACACGAGTAAAAGGTCCACTTTTTATCCAAGGGTCAAGATTTTATTTTTAAAAAGTGGACTAATTTGTATCACCAGCGGGACTGCAATCCTACAAATTGCTCACTTGTAAAAGTGTATTCGATTTATCCTTTAAAATGCTCTCTAAAACACAGAAAATGCCATTTCTGAAGTTCAATTTCCAAAATCCTGGCTACGGGCATGATGCGGAATTTGTCCGATTATAATATTTAATCACACAGGTTTTACATACAGATTAATAATCAATACAAACAATTTAATATAGTATCTTAACCATGTTTACATCTAGTATCGTGTAGATAAACACTCGTCTTAAACAAAGTATTAAATCAGACTAAAAATTCTAAACGCCTAATTAAACATTGCTGTCATCTACGCGTGCAGAAACTATTTCAACATAGACTCAAAGCTACACTGTACCAAGTGACTTAAAACAAAGAAGGTACAATAATGACATAGAAGTACACATTATAACATTAATAGAAACTAGCTTAGTTGCAGAAATACAACCAGATCGTTGCAATATCCTAATTACAAATCAAAAGTTTCAAATTAAAATCAATTACATTACCTTCATTACAAATCAAGATACAGGTAAATAAAAAATATGTTTTNTAAAAAATATGTTTTTATTACAAATCAATCAAATTTTGTGATGGTTAGAATTGGTTGAAAAATCTCTATTGCGAATCAAGAAAAATTTAATGGATTAAAATGCTTTGATATTAAGATGAAGCAACGTCATGATAATTTCAATGATGATTACAATGCTTTAGTATTTAGATTTTTACCGTAGTACATAGTGATGTACTAATATTTACTTTAGGGAAGACATTATAGATGCCTGTAAACAATAGTTACGAGGAACAAAGTAGACCTTAGCAGAAAGCTGCCCAACTTTGTTGCTAGTACTTGAAAATATTCACAAGGTCAGCAAATTAATTTTTACAATGATAAACTTTTGTGTTTTCATAGCTGTTGCTATATTGTAATAGTTCTTGACTATTTTGACTTACCAGTTATCCGATTACTATAACCACCAACGTTCTGACGATATAAGGCTACATCAAGTAAATTTCATGGATGACATCCTCCACCTATCCAAAATATATAGAGCGAACAAAAAAAAAGATTCTTCATTTTCAAATGTTGACACCATAAACCTTGTGAAATAGGATATGGTACCTCAATTGTGCTAGGTGTACTGTAAGCTAGTACAATATCCATTTCTCGTTGAAACATCTTCAAAGAAAATTAAAGGTTTCAATCATTTAACAAATGGTTTTCAGTGTCAGGATCACATATTCACATCCACCATCACATATAAAAGACAAAACAATTAACCTGAGCCTTAAATCTCCTCTCTTCATATTTATCTGGCATCCACGTTCCGGCATGGCAATATATATCTTTGCACATTTTTGGCACTGTCAGAGGGGGGCAAAATTTCTTGTGAAATCAATGCGCGCGCTGATGCCATCCATAAACATTACTTTTCGTGGCCTAATTAAGACCAATATAACATAGTACGCATTAATCCAGTATCATGTTAACAAAGGCAAATATTGAACAAAATAAAAAAAAAAAAACTTAAAATCCCAAAGACAATATTATCTACGTGTTTTAGAACATGCTGAACATAGACTAAAAGTAATATAGTACCAATCTCCTTCAAAACATAGAAGTTACAGAATACTTCAAGATTTTAAATTGTCGATGAGAACAACATTATGCTACCAGATATAATTGCATCTTAATCGTACTGAGCAAGACGATAAAAAAGACAAATCAAGAAAGAGTATGGTGATTGCGATCAATTTCAATGCCTTGATTACAGATCAAAAAAACTTTGCAATGATGACAATTTGTCAAAATACATTGATTATACGGATCAATAGACATTATCAGGATTACAAATGACGAAGATGTCGTAATTATTGCATAAAAAACAGAATGATGATTACAAGTTGCTTGCATATTTCTATTTCATTGATTATAGATCAAAAAGCATGATTGCAATTAATCACAGTTCCTTGATTACAGATCAATAAACATAATGATGATTACAAATAATTTGAATGCATTGAATGCAGATTAAAAAACATTTTAGTAATAACAGATCAAGAAACTGTATGATTACTACAACTGATTACAATGCTCTGATTGCAGATCTAGGATTATTATGATGATTACAAGTAATTCAAAAACCTTGATAACAGATGAAACAGCAGATCACGAACTTGCTGTGACTAGATGTTACTTACAAATACACATAAACTCAGATTGCTGTGTTTTCTGAGTCTAAATTTAGCATCCGTCGGGTAATGTTTATCACCAAGCAAGTCATTTCAAAAGGCTTAAGTATTCTACATTAGACATAAAGTGCAAGACATCGTAAAGAAAACATTTTGCAGTCCAAACTACCTCTCAAGTGAGATTCAAAATCATTGACCGTTACCATTTGAAATGCAGGATATCCTCTGATATTACCACATCAAATGCATCTTTCAAATACAACATCACTTCAAATACATGGTCATAGGCACGGCTGCCGCGATGCTGATGATGTACATGACAAGACACAGCCTGTCCAAGACCTTAGCCAGCAGAGTGTAGTCGGTCACTTCGTCATTGTTAAAGACTTTGGCATGTTCTCCCACCTCAGTCTTCACCGCAGTGGCGATCATCTCGCGGAGATCGGTAGGACCGGTGGTCTGTCCATCTGAACCAGGCTGCTCGGGACTCTCGAGGTCGTTCTCGGGTCTCTCTACGTCGACAGAAGCCATGACTGCATTTTCAAAGGCGCGGTTTGTTACCTCAATGGCACTGTGCTTGGTATGGCCATGATCCTCACCATATGCACGCTTCTTGCCACTGAGGTCCCCCAGCAGTAGCATCCTAAGGTAAGAAATTAAAATAAAATAATAATATGATTAAAAAAAGTAACGTGCATTATGTTTTAAAAATGTGGTAATGGCTATGCAAATAATGCTTATATCATGTATATGTACTCTGATAAAATATGTAAAGAACTGAAATATTACAAAAGGCATGTTTGTGAATAAAAAAGAATCCATAAATATTCTTATAATTTCATTTCAAAGACTTAAGAACTGTTGCATTTTAGTGTTATCGGTGTGGTCTTTTAGCCTAAAAACGAATCATAAACAGTTAACTTTAAGAAACAACTAACCTACCAACAAAAAGAAAACAAAAACAATGTGATATATCACTGCAGCTGGGAATTTAATGTATGTATGTATTTATTTATCGATTGATTGATTGATTGATTGATTTGATAAAACCTTAGTCACTGCCTAGCATACCATGTCAAACTAGGTTCTCCAGAACAAAAAAAATTAAACAGATGGTAGGTACTTTGACAAGTAGCGGAGAAATACAGTCTTCGCCAACGGAGACAGGCTTCCCTCCCGGCCATGGATCATGATGATGCCGAGGGTGAAGAAGAGGAAGACTGCCATCAGCGCCATGCACACGATGATTAGTGTGGCTGTAATATCATCCACGAGAAACAGTTAGTTAAATAATAAGGGTGTCAACTTTTAATAAAATGATGTTAAGATTTGAGAAACAGGTGATGACAAAAAATCGGAGATTTCTAATTTCTTGGATGTAAATATAGTTCTCTTACATATACAACACATTATTACCCATAAGGCCACACCAATTTAATTT